CCCCACATTTTTCTATAGCATAATTTATCCCAACGTTTTATTAAAAACGTTGTGAAAATTTTTACAAAAATGTTGGGATGAGTTCGACCATCGTTTTATTAAAAGAGTTGATATATGTATTATTTCCTCTTGACGTTTTGCAACAAATGTTGGGAATATGGGTTGATAAGTTTCAAACATACCAAAATACGTACTAAATATTCCAACATTTTAATAAAAACGTGGAGCAAAGATCTCTTCTCCCCACGTTTTTACAAAAAATGTTGGGATGAGTTCAACCGTCGTTTTATTAAAATGGTCGATATATGTGTTATTTCCTCTGACGTTTTGCAACAAACGTTGGGAATATGGATTGATAAGTTCAAACATACCAAAATTACGTGCTAAATATTCCGACGTTTTAATAAAAGACCACTTTATTGAAATAAAGCACATATATGTTTAATTTGAATAACTCATGTAATATTCTGCTCCATCTCAACATATATATGTTTGCTCTCGCTGTCGTTCTCATCCTCATTTTCATTCTCGCTAACGTTCTCTGGCACGTTCTCGCTCACGTTCTCGTTCTCGCTCACCTTCCCAATTAATGCATGCACGCTCGCTGTGTCTGTTTGCCTTTCCATGAATGATTTTATGCTATATGTCACTGTTTGCCTTCCTCATACATCCAATAAATGTATTAGTTAATGTTCACCTAACAACAATCAATTAATCTAATTTTCATATCCATATATTTCCCAATCCTATATTACGTACACAACTATCAACTCTCTTCTATTCTCCACTCATTTGATTCTTCCGCACATTACACCATCAATGTCTTACGAGGTTACTTCTAAAAATAGAATGTCGGAATCACAAGGGAAAAACCCATATGAAGATCCAACGAGGGCTGAGTTGGAAGATGAGACGAAACAACATTGCAAGAACAGTCACTTGTTGTACTCAACGCAACATCACTTGCAAGTGAAAGATAGTCGAATTAAGTATTTGGAAAATCTTGTAAAGGAAATCAAGGAACGAGCATACCGATGCAAGGAGGAGAAACGGGAACTACAAGATATAGTTGTAGTATTAGAATCACGTTTGAGGAAAATGGGGGCATTGTCACCGTGTCGTAGATTTAATTAACTTTATATATATTTCTTATGCAATAAAGTACAACTTATTTCTTTCTTTCACACATGTTGACAAATGACTAATGGATTTCAAACCGAAAAATCATTATGCGTTTACTGAACATTCAAACACGATTGTATAAATATAATGAAACGAATCGTCTTTAAAAAACCAAAAGAAATAACTACAATGAG